ACCCTTAATGTACTTAATGTATATAGAGAGACAGATGCTCCTCCCATCACCCGACACTGGGCTCAAAAACACCCAGTACCACCTATCATGGTCAAATGGAAGGACCCCTTTGATGGACTCTGGAAAGGACCAGATCCATTGTTAACAACAGGAAGAGGATTTGCTTGTATTTTTCCACAGGATCAACCAAAGCCTATCTGGGTTCCAGCTAGAAATGTCAGACATCTCCCCACCAACGAAGAAGATGGCTCGCATGACCCTGACAGAGACAAAGAAAAGAAAGAGGCAGAGACGTCATCCAAAGCCACACAGGATCACATGGAGAGAAATCCATGACCTAGTGGAAGCTGCACGCCACAGATGTCCCCCTGGAGCCTCCTTCTCTGTCATTCTCATGGCAGTCTTTACCCTGCTCAGCACCAACACTTCAGATGCCAGATAAAGGGAGCGTGTGCTGGGCTCCCGGGGTCCCGCGCGCGCTCTCGGGATGGCACGGCGGGTCCACAGGCTTTTCCGCCTTGCGCCTGGAGGAAGGCAGGTCTGGCCCTGCGGGCTTCTCCGTGTCTCTATGGGCCTCAGGCGTGGTGTGCGCGGGTATCTCGGGGTCCCCGCCATACCTGGTGAGTCGCGGCATGGCTCTGGCCACAGGCGTCTCTGGGAGCGGCAGCAGATAGGTCACTGTCTGCCGCTCCGGTGCTGACAGTCTCTCTGCTACTGGAGCGTTGTCCAGCTGAATTCTGTCCCTATTTCACCCATGTACTTTCCTCAGGATGCGAAGTCCACTGGCCACTGAACCCCACGGGAAGAGTACAAGGACAGCGAAAGCTAGGATGGCCGTAAGTTGGTCACGGGGGAGTGCGCCCCCCGGAGAGGCTAGGTCGCCGATAGTAAGGCACAGGACAAGACTCGGCTTAGTCTGTGTTACAGCTTTATTAAGTGTCTCTGCTCTCAGTAATTCAGCAGCTCTGCGACCCAGCTCTCTCTCTGTTAAGAGAAAACTAGGATACTTATACCATGGAGGTAGTGGTAAAAGCTTTGGCTGTTAGATGCTTAGTGAGGCATTCTATTTACATATGGAAGTGGGTTTCTGCCAGACTGCTGTCTGCCTGGAAAAATCACACAGGAAAGCATGGTACCTTTCAGAGCCAAAGGCCATGTTTATGCTAGAGCATTTGTGGCAGGCACTTCAAAAGGAGAGTCAGGAAAGATGCCAGGAAGGCACCCTGCTATGAAAGGAGCCCTCAGCACATGATCCCGAGCTGCATGAGCTGTCTGGTTGTGAAGGGACTTCCACTTTGCATAACAGAGGTCCCCAACATTGGTGGGCTCCCCGCTGCCCTTGGGAAAGGTCATGTGCAGGCCATCTGCTGGTCTACAAAGAATTCCAGCCTGGAGTCTCTCTTGCATTCCTAACTTGAAGCCCTTGTGCCCCTTGCTTACTAGGTGGCTGAGAAGGTGAAAAGATTTTTCTCAAAGTACTCCATGAACAGACACAAAATGACCACGCTCACGCCCACATACCACGCCGAAAGTTACAGTCCTGATGACAACAGGTTTGACCTGTGGCCCTTCCTCTACAACACGACCTGGCCCTGGCAGTTCCACTGCACTGACAGACACGTGAGTCTGTAGAGAACACAGAAGGTTACCTCTTCCTTCCCTGAGGAGAAAAATGTTTATGTGTACAATGGCATGTTAATGTCCTTACTTCAACAAAAGGACAGGTATGTTTAAAAGGTTTGGGGTTTTCTTTTTTAAACATTCTTTTTTAGTTAGGGCCTCAAGTAGCCCAGGCTGACCTCAAGCTCTTACTGTATAGCTGAGGCTGACCTTGAACTCTTGATCCTCCTGGCTGTACCCCACAAGTGCTGGGGTGACAACGTGCACCACCACGCTCAGTTTATGTGGTGCTGGGAATGGAATCCTGGGCTTTGTGCACGCTAGGCAAACCCTCTACCTACTAAGCTACGCCCCCAGTCCTCAGGGTGTTTTATTGACGACATATGTATTCCTGGTGAACAGTGTGTACACTGTGGAGTGGATCAAGCTATTGAACGTGCACATTGCCTCACTCTGTGTGGTATGTGGTAAGAAAAGTTAAATTGGGCTAGAGTAAAAAAAAAAGAATCAGGCTGGAGAGTGGCTCAGTGGTTAGGAACACTGGCTGCTCATGTGGAGGACCTGGGTTCAGTTCCCAGCACCCACTTGACAGCTCACAACCACCTGTAACTCCAGTTCCAGGGAATCCAGCACCATCTTCTGGATTCCATGGGCACCTGCACTCGTGCACATATACACATAGGCCCACACATATACACATAACTAAAAATAATAAAAATAGGTCTCTAAAAATATCAGGTCTCAGAAAAACCAAATAATACCCTGTCCAAGACAGTACAACCAGTAAAATTGTAATTTGA